AGGCCCCTTGAGAACCACTGTTCCCAAGGATGAGAATGAGGAGGATTAACCCTAACTTCCCCAGGCCCTTCCAACTCTAGGTCATCCAGAGTGTTACCTTCAAGCCTCTGACAACAGAACAAATGGAAGGTGAGGAGGAAAGAATGGGCATGTTCTGCACTAGCCAGAACTTAAAGACTTTGCCCAAAGCTCAGATCTCTATTCCACAAACTAGAAAATGCCCTCACTTTCTCAGAGATGAGTCCATCCGCCAACATTTCTCAAGTACTTCCTACATGCCGGGCACGCTAAGCTCTGAAGAGATGCAGAAAAGTAAAAACTCCTCTTTGGAAAGCTAACATTCTAGGGAAGGAGACAGTTCACGTCCATTTTGGCTCCATTGGGACAGTTGTTACTGCTATTCTAATGGTTAATGATGAAGACAGAGTTCTCGTTTTCCTAGGGCCCCAACAGAGGCTACTAAATTCTTTATTCCAACTGGCCTACAGAATTGAATGTAATTTTTGCAGGACTGTTTTACTCTGGGAACACATTCTAATGGTGTGGAGGCTATAATTTCTCTCTTTTCTCTTTGGGCCATATTTTTAATTGCCCCTCTCTCCTCACCTTCCCAAGTAAAGTACGGAAGCTACCATGCTCATTTGAATTAGTTTTTGCTACTGTATACCATTCTGGAAGATAAATGAATTTTTGTCTATTTTAAATATTCATGTTTCTTTATGAACTAATACATCATCACAGTTATGGGAGAATTTTTTTCTCTCTGACTATTCAAAATACACTATCAGTCAACCTGTCAGTAGTGTATAATAACTTGGGTTTGCAGTTTCTGGGTACCATTCATCTAAGGATCTCAGAGACTCTCCGTGTCTCCATTCTCTCCTTTATAGTGTCACTGTAGAGTAGATAAGTGTTTTCAGTGTGTAGTGGATATTGGCACATTAAGGAATTAAGTGGTGTGCCCTTTATCACTTGTCACATGTTGGAAGAGACAGGACTAGAAATCTAGGCTCTTTTTTTCTGTGGCCTTCATCAGCCTTGGAATAACAGTCTCCCCAGAGAACCAGCCCATCTACTCAGCTAATACAGTAGATTTACAATGAACCTCATTGTAATTCCCAGGCAGCAACATCCGCCTACCCTTCTAAGAGATATGCCCCCAAGAAAGATTTAGAAATTTTGTTAGTGTAATGAGAACCCTTTTCCTGTCTAGTTTATAATAGCTCACATTTATAGAGCTCTTTAAGGTTTGTGTAATGCAGGGGTAGCTAGGTGGCGCAGTGAATAGAGCACCAACCCTGGATTCAGGAGGACCTGAATTCAAATCTGGCTTCAGACACATAACACTTACTAGCTGTGTGACCCTGGGCAAGTCACTTAACCCCATTGCCTACCAGAAAAAAAAAAAAAAGGTTTGTGTAATGCTTTAGATGGATTTTCTCTGTGAGGTTAGCTGACTATGAATTTCATTGTCCCCATTTTACAGATAAGAAAACTGAAACTCAGATTAAATGACTTGTTTGAGTCATACAACTAGTGTCAGAGCTAAACTCACACCTCCCTGATTTTCTGTCCAACATTTCTTCTCTAGTTCTTCCCAGATGGATTTTATTGATATGATTATTAGGCAAGACACTGAAGAGGAATGTTATAGACATAATGTATCTTAATATTAGTAAAGTTTTTGATAAATTCTCTTACTATATCCTTGTCAACAAAATGGAGAAATGTTAACTATATGTTTTATATATCTAAATGTTAACTATATATACATATATAATTAATTGAGTAACCATTTCCAAAAAGTACAGATTGATGGATAGATGCTAGTCTGTAGAAGAGTCTTTAGAGGTATGCCACAGGACTCTGTCCCTGACCCTGTCCTGTTCAACATTTTTTTTTGTCACTGACCTCTATGTACAGATTAATCCAGACTTGTGCAACTTCATCAGTGGCCCCACTTCTTCAATCTCCTGTGTTTGGAGAGTTGCTGAGCTCCTGGGCTTTAGCACTAATCAGGTGCCTTTCCCTTTCCACATGGTACCCTGGGGACAACACTTTTCAATTGCTCTCTTCCTCTGGGGAGGGTAGACTATACTAGCTAGATTACTCCCTTGCTCAGAAACCTCCAGTGATTGTTTACTCCTTATCAGATAAATTTAGGATTCCTTACCATGGCATTTCAGAGCTTCCCCAACCCTTTACTCAACTCCTTTCTCAGCGTTAGCTCATATTTCTCCTTTCAACTCCTCTGGCCCCACCTTTTGTCTCTGCATTCACATATGGCTAGAATGCATTTCTTCCTCATCTCCACCTATTGAAATTATTCTCATCCATCAAGGCACGACTTAGGTGTCACTTTCTCTGAAAAACTTTCTCTGACCCCTCACCCCTTCACACACACACACACCCCTGAAAATGAGCTCTCCCCAATCACATTTCCCCAGAATATTTTATATAGTGCTCTCCTTTACCCATACCATACTCTACAGCTTCACTGGAGATAGATCTTGTGTGTGTGTGTGAGTGTACCCCTTAGTAGACTGTCACTTCAAGTGTGGAAAGAGATTGTATATTTTTTCATCTTTTTATCTCCAGGGCCTAGCACAGAACACTACACATGTTGTCATTCATTTGTTTTTAGTCATGTCCGACTCTCCATTTGGGGTTCCCTTGGCAAAGGTACTGGAGTGGTTTGCCATTTTCTTCTCCAGCTCCTTTTATAGATGAGGAAACTTAGACAAACAGGGTTAAGTGACTTGCCCAGGGTCACACAACTAGAAAGTATCTGAGGCCAGATTTGAACTCAGGAGGATTAGTTTTTTTAACTCCAGGCTCTGGAGTTAAACTCTATCCACTGCACCACCTAGCTGCCTGTTGCACTACACACAGTAGGTTGCTTAATAATGTTTGTTGAGTTGAATTTTCATGAAAGGTTCATCCCCATTCTTGATTACCTGCCATCAGACTGCAACATTTTCTAATAGTACAAAGGATTATAAACAGTGGTGAAATTGCTTCCTCCTTCAGCTTGCTGCTTCATTGATGACTCTGACCAAGTTAATAATAATAATATAAAGTACCAATGCTGCTGTCTGTTGTCTGGTCATCAAAGCCAAGGAATCAGAGGCTGGACACCCTAAAGACTGCACATATTTCCTTTCAGTAACTTCATATTGCATTTCCGAACTTTTCAATTACAAAAATGTAAAAGCAGGGAAATGTACATCACTAAGGCCTTGTTCTTATATTTCTGCAATTGAAATGTTCGAAGTGCAGTATGAAGTACCTGAAAGAAATTAAAAAGCAATCTCCAAATCGGCAATAAGCTAGACCTCTGCCTTCTAGCAGAGAGGTGGGGAACTTCGAGGTTAGAATATCATATACAATGTCAGTCTCTGAGCTGAAAATTTTTGCTTGCTTGTTTTTTTTTGTTGTTGTTGCTAAGGAAGACATGGAGGTGGATTGGGAAATGACTGATATCAGGATAAAAGTCATCAATAAAATCTATTTTTAAAAGAAAAAAAAGTCTCCAGAAATACTCATCTGTTCTCTGCATCCCCTCTCTCCATGAATTTGCCCAAATGGTCCTCTCTGCCTTTCCAAGTCCTCATCTTCCTCATAGGATCATCCCCCCCCCCCATTTAGTTCTGTAGCACATACCCCCTTAACAAATATTACAGAATCCCATCATAATGCAGCCTGTTACTTAGATTCACAGTAGTATTTGTTGGTCTGGTCACGTTTCCTGGAACCTACAACAAAAACCCCTCAAAGTGAAATAAAATAAAAGCCATAATGGTATAACACAGGAAGGAAACTTATAGAACCCATTACCCCAACAGGTAGGACAAACAGAAAACAGAAGTGAACTGGGGTAGGGGAATTGGCAAACTTATGCATTTGTCCAATTTCTGAAGTTAAAAAATTCCTAAGGCAAGCTAGGTTATATCTAAGCTGTAAGGTTACCATCAGAAAGGATAACCGTCACCTCCCCCCCAAGGTATTTCTTTTAAAACAGCAGACTACCCATGGTTAATAGTAGTTTATTCACAGACTGTCAGAACTCAAAGATCATCTAGTCCAGTGGTTCTTAATCAGGGAGTCTGTGAATTTTTTTTTTTTAGTACTTCAATAATTGTATTTCAATATAATTGGTTTCCTTTATAATCTGATGTATTTTAATTTATGCATTTAAAAGCATTGTTTTGAGAAGAGGTACAGGTTTCACCAGATTGTCAAAGGAATCCAAGTCAAAAAAAAATGTTAAGAACTTCTAGGCTAGGTGAATCAAGGATCTGGCCTAGTAAGAAAACTACTTTGTTCCCACTTAACATACTTAACCTATAAGCTCAAGTTTCCTGGCAACAGAATCAAATTGATCCTAAAAGGAAGGAAAGAAGGAAGAAGAAAAAAAGAAAGGAAGGGAGGAAGGAAGAAAGAGAAATAGTGAATTTATGGCCTTAAACACTGTAGGGGCAGTTTAGGTTTAAAGCTTGATTCAGATGTCACCTCCTCCATGAAGTGTTCCCTGATTTCCTCCTCCTCCTCTTAGTAATGTTCTTTATTGATATAGCATTTTATTTATATTTCTCTTACATACTTATCATGTAGTATTTTGTATTGGACATATTTGTGCATAGAACCTATTCTCCTCCAGAGTCTTTACATCTCCCCCAGTAAGTATATAGCACATTTCCCTGCATGCAGTAGGTGCTAAATAAACATTTGCTGAGTTAAATTGAATAAGGGGATAGCTACCCCTACCCTCTCAATGTTCCCCCCCCATCTCCAAAATAGGTGCCACACTGAGAATCAGTCTGTGAGAGCAGTTATTAAAAATAGGAAGCATGTCCATAGAAGACATGGAACCATCATGCATCTCCACTGGATTTGCTCGCTGGTTCCTTGGGGATCAACAATGTACTTAGTCTAACTAAAAATATATTTCTTTATTAGGAGGCCCCATTAAAGCAATTTTCTTTCTGTTATTTTCCTAGGCAGTACTATGAGATGCTGTACAACACAGCTGACGAGCTCCTGAACCTGGTGGTTGACCAAGGGGTGAAGTACACGGAGCTGGAGTACATTCACGCCTTAAATTTGCTGCACCGAAGTCAGACCGGCGTCGGGGACCAGACCACTCAGAACATGAGGCTCCAGCGCCTCAAGGAGATCATCTGTGAGCAGGCCGCCATCAAACAAGCCACTAAGGACAAGAAAATAACCACTGTGTAATCCACGCCTCCTGGTCTACTGTCACGCAGTAGGAGCTGTGACCATCGCAAGCTTGTCCTGCTGTAACGGCCAATGGTCACTACATGTGTGCTCACTTTTGTTTTGCTGTCTGTTTTTATCCTGCATCCTTCTTTGGTATGTAATCTGATCAATTCTGCCCTGAGGAATCCCTACTCATATCCCTAGTGGAGGCAGCCCTAAAGGGAGGGTTTAATGTGGTAACTTCCGAAAGGATTCAGAGTGGGAGTGGGGATTGTGCCAGATGGTTGGGATCTGAGTAGGGAAGGACGAATATGCCTATAAGAGTACCTCCTCAGCTTATAAACACTCTGACCTTGGAGAAGAAAGTCCCTTCATGTAATCTCATTGATCTGAAAGATGTTATAAGGGTTGTATTTCATAGACAGTAAGGTTCTCACTCCCTTGATGCTATTAATTTTTAGTACAATGAAATATCTAGCTCTGCATTCACTACTCTTTGCCTTTCTCTTGCCCAGACCTACCTAGGCAGTTAATTGAGTAGTCCAGGCAGGCAGGCTGTGGTCTCCAGGGTGGGATTTTATGACCAGGTAGGAGGCCTTCCCTCTGCCATCACTGGAGGCTGGATCACATGTTCCTATTCTGCCACACCCAGGGCAGTGTTACCATGGAATATTTTGCTAACTGTGTTGTCTTTCTCTTTGCTTTATCTGAACCAAGAGCCATCACACTAGTGGTAAGGTGTGCAGCCAACCATGGAAGCAGGGATCTTTTTTTCCCCCACTTTCCAAGAGGAAATGTTCCTTAAAGGATATTATGAGGACTGGTCAATTACCAACAAGTTAAATGGAGCTAAAATACTGCCTTATTCACAGAGTCAGTCCCAGTAGCCTCCTCATATTTACACAAATGGGCACAAAGACTTATAACATTAATTCCTGTCTTGGCTTCCCAGTCAAGCCTATTCTCAAATGGACTTGTGTTGTGGCTCACCTTTCCTCTAGCACATCCTACCCCTAACCCCACTCACCACACTCTCAAGTGTTGTTGGCCTTCCAAGTGTAAACATCATTGAAACCTTAGCAGGACAACACACTGTGCACTGTCTGTGCCCCATCCTCTTTGTAGGTGGAAGAAGGAAGGAGAACCACCATATAACGCGATGCCCCTGGCACTGATGGTCTTGAATTTTGCAAACTGCTTGTACAACGTTGGGCTTGGGGGAGAATGGAAAATTAAAGGACGTTTTGAGAATCTTTATTTGTGTGTCGGATTGTTTTTGTCTTAATTTTATTAGAACTCTGTGGCCTCTGAGTTCCCTTCTAGCCCCAAAACTATGATCCTGCGATCCTCCTAATTGTCTGCATTGGAAAAAGGCAGCTTGCATTCTAACAGGACGATGTGGGTTCAATTCAATTTAATAAACGTGTATTAAGTGCCTGCAGTGTTCGAGGCACTGTGCCAAGCATGGCAGATACAAATAAGAAAAAGAAAGACAGTCATTACCCTCAAGGAGCTTTAAAGAAGACAACCCACAAAAGGAGGCAAGAAAGGGATTGGGGGATGGGGACCAGGGGGTATTGTGTTCCATGATGTTTAAACCAGGCAGAGCAGCGAATGCAAAATGGAGTGAGCTGAAAGTCTAGTTTCTGCTCTCTGTAAAGGAAAGCATTGGGAGGAGTTGGGTACTCCTCCCTGCAGCCCTCCCATCAGAGAGGAGAGAAGGCTGAGGGAGGTGGTGTCAGCCAAGGCCTGAGTTAGCAGCACAGTGATGAGATTAGAAGTGGTGATTTGAACCAAGTCATTTGAGGGTAGCTAGGTGGCATAGTAGATAGAGTGCTGGGCCTGACGTCAGGAAGACTCATCTTCCTCAGTTCAAATCTGACCTCAAACACTTCCTAGCTGTGTAACCCCAGGCAAGTCACTTTAACTCCGTTTGCCTCAGTTTCCTCTTCTATAAAATGAACTGGAGAAGACAATGGCAAACCATTCCAGTATCTTTGCCAAGAAAACCCAAGTTAGGATCAGGAAGAATCAGATGCCACTGAAAAATGACTAAACAACATTTGAGAATCTAGTACCTGTTGGACTACATTAAGGAGCATAATTTCATTACCACTTCTTAAACCTTCTATCCCTTCAGGTTTATGCAGATAGGTTCTTAATAAACAAATGTTTGTTGATTGACTGAAGTAACCTTATCCAAATTCTCCTTGTAAAGAGGGTTATCTCTCCTCCAGGCTGGTCTAGGTAAGAGTTCTGAACCCTAGGCCCCTGGACTTTTGTTCTACAAATATTTTGGTAACTACTTCAATACAATTGGTTTCTCTTCTAATCCTGTGTATTTTATTTTATGTGTTTAAAAAAACTGCTCTGAAAATAATAATGATAATAGCCAGTATTTATATAGCACCCTAAGGTTTGAAAAGCACTTCACATATGTTATCTTATGAAAAAGAGGTCTATTTGCTCCACCAGACTGCTAGAGGAGTCTAAAATCTTCAAAAAAAAAAATAAAAAGGTTAAGAAATCTTGGGCTTGGTAAAGCTAAGAACCATTCCATCTTGGAGATTCTTTTAGTCTGTGATTTACAGGCATCTTTCGCTCCCGAATCCAATTAAAACAACCACTTTCGGGCATTTTCATTTTCATCTCATCAAAATTTTTCTCCTGCTTAACTGTGGGATTTTTTAAGTGACTGCATCGCAACCTTGCTAGAACAACTGATTTCAGGTGTGTGCCTCATTATATACATCCAATTTTAGATATAACTAGGTCTTTTCCACATCTGATTACATACCTCGTAATTAGGCACATCTAGTGATACCCATACCTTATGAGAATGACTACTTCCAGCTCTTGAAAAGCAGGTTGTTGCCTGCTGAGCTGACACAAACCCAAGCTATCAGGGAATAGCTCAGTGCTCCTAAAGCCCCTAACTCTGAGAAAGGGCTCTGTAGCTAGTTCCTCTCCTAGAGCCACTTACTGCCTTGTGGAATGAGTTTGTTCACAGCTGCCTAATCCCCTCTCTTGGAATGTTCCTGCCTAGAGTTATTGTGACCTTGAAAAAAGTTAAAGGGAAAAACTAAATTAAGAGATCTTGTTAGGAAGCTATATACCACCAAATTCTGTCATGCTACTTCCAGTAATTTTTCATAGCTTCTATTCCTCTCTCTTTGAATTCTGTATTTTGGAAATCAGGTCCCTGAAACAATTTACGTATACATATTATACCTCTTGAATCAGAAAGCCTGAGAACTAGTGGTCTTGGACCAAGGATGTGACCTGCTAGGAAGCTGATGCTACAAATCAGGGCTTGAGTTATCATTTTGTTGAGTGTGTAGACTTAAAGTGATAGAGAAAATATTAAAAATGCAAATTAAACTTTAAAGTGTGTCATTCAAATGTCTTCCCCTCCCCCCCCAGAGAGTCAGTTGTTAAACATTTACCAGCATATCTCTGTCTCATACCTTTGGAAAGTACCCCTAAACATGGTCTTCACCTGGTTCACTCAGAACCGTGTTGGAGCTCCAGATACAGGCTTCTGGAGTATAAGCAGCAACCCCTGTCGGTTTCAGGAGTCAAGACCAGGGAGTCTCACTAAAAGAAAGCAGAGGGTTCAGTACCAGCAGCCAGCCAGCCAAATTTGGACCAGACTCTGATTAGGACAGATACTGTGATTTTAGGAGGCAGAAAACAATTGTCCTCCTAACTAGGTTCAGAGACAAAATGATACCAGATTCTGACCAGGGCATTAAGGTGTAGAAAGGTCAGTAGAAACTCTGATCAATCTCTATCTCACCAATGGTAACTTACAAGGACTGATAATCAAGCTGGCCTACTTCTTGGTAGAGATGTAGTGGACTACAAGTATAGCTTAAGGCATGTATCTTTAGACATGATCAATGTGTTGGCTTATTTTGCTTAACTGTTGTTCGGTCTTTTTTTCAGTCGTGTCCGACTCTTCATGACCCCACTTGGTGATAAGTGACTTGCCCAGGGTCCCTCAGCTAGGAAGTATCTGAGGCCAGATTTGAACTCAAGGAGAAGAATCTTCCTGACTCCAGGCCCAATGCTCTATCCACTGCACCACCCAGCTGACCTTTTGCTTAACTGTACTTATTTGTTATAAGAGAGAATTCTGTTCTGGGGAAAATTGGAGAAACCATTGGAAAGTGACAGTCGTGTCAAAAAATAGAAGAGCATCAATAAAACATTTTAAAAGAGAAAAAGCACTGGCTCACAGTCAGCCTGGTCCAGTGGAAAGAGTATTGGCTCTTGGTTTAAGTTCTATCTTTGATGCTTAATACCTATGCGGCCTTGGGCAAATCTCAACTTCCCTTCCTCTCAGTTTCCTCACTTCTGAATGAGAGAATTGGACTAGATCATAGGCGGAGCCTATGGATCAAAACATGGAGCCGGTGGGCAGCACGTGGCCCACCACACTCCTGAGTGCAACCTGAGCCAAAGGGAAATGAAATTATATAGGAAATATATAATAAAATAAATAAAAATATAGTAAAACATAGATAGACAGCTAGGTGGTGCCGTAGTGCAGAGTGCCAGCCCTGGAGGCAAAAAGGCTCATCTTCATGAGTTCAAATCTGGCATCAGACACTAATTGTCTGAGACCCTGGGCAAGTTACTTAACCCTGTTGGCCTCAGTTTCCTCATCTGTAAAATGAGCTGGAGAAGGAAATGGCAACTAGTCCAGTATCTCTGCTAAGAAAACCCCAAATGGGGTCACAAAGAGTCAGACACAACTGAAAAATGACTGAAAAACAAGAACAAAGCATAGATTATGTTAACATGTTGTTGTTTGTCCTTCGTTCTCAAAGACTACAACATCCAGAAGGTGATACTAGGACTTGCAAGTGAATTGGCTTTAAGTGAGGGAGGGTTGTGCAAAGTCACCAGCCTCGGTTTCTCTTCCAGAGCCATCTGGGTTCAGTGGCAAGATACAGATCAGGACTACTGAAGGTGGCCCTAGATGCAGTGGGAGACCTTGGCTTTTTTAAGCTAAGGTCTTTCCTAGGTCTCAGCTTAACTGAGGCAACACCTGTTCAGTGATTAAGGCTAAGTAAGAAGTGAGGCAAAGAATGGCCTCTTTTACCTGGTCAAAAAACAAAAATCAATCTGAGGGGAAGACCCTCAGGTTTCTAGCCAAACATAAACAATTACTATTCACATTCACTATGAGCCATTGTTGGCCTGTTAATGAGAGCCTGGGTGATTTGGGTTTAAGGCAAGGTCCTTAAGAAAGAAATGTAGCCTGTAAACCCCAAGATATCTTGCTAGATTTCAGTGATCAAAATTTACATTCCTCTGGGCAGAGCGCCCACAGGTAAGGGTATGATACCCTCTGTGGACAGAAGGATGGATGGAGGAAAGAAAAGGAGAGGAGAGGAAGAAAGAAAGAAAGAAAAACAAGGAAGGAAGGAGCTGCATTGGCCAAATGGAACTCATGTACAGCCCACAGGGATCTTCATGTATAGTTTTAGAGGCCCCTATTTCTATCTGAGTTTGACACCACTGGACAAGATGAATGTTAGATCCCTTATATTTCTATGACCCTACAAGCAACTTGCTAGCAGCATGACTGGGAAAACCTGCCCTTTTGTGAGGCTCAAATAAGATAATGTAGAGGAAAGAACTTTTTAAGTAATAAATATAGTACAAAGGTAAGATATAGCATCATCAACAGTCCTACTTGAAAAATCAAAATGTGTAATGAAATGTATAAACCTAAAGAGATGTGAGAGATTATGCATAATTTGAAAAAGGTGTAATAAGTTGGACTTAATGTAGAGAAGGTGTAATGATATGCCAAGAACAAGAGAGTATAAAGGACAATTAGATTCAGGAAATATCCAAACCTTGTCCTAATTAGGCATCAATGTAGTAAGAAGTGCATAGTTAGTAAATGTGTGATCAGATGTGAAGCCCAGAAGTTACGCTCAGAACTGAAGTCGTCCTGTGACACACATAGATGAATGGGCTTGTCCTCATTTGGCTAGGGTGCAGTACGCTTCCTAGAATTATGAAAAGAGTATGATGAGATGTCTACCATAGGGTTATCCCTGGAAACAAAATGTTGTAATGAGATGCACACACCAGACAGCAGTTGTTCCAACCAGGCAGGGATGTAATGGGATGTGCCTAATTATCAAGGATGTAGTAAGATGCAAAACCCACCAGAATTAAGCCTAAAATAAAGAGGTGTAATGAGATGCAAACACCTGAAAGGAGTTTCTGCTAAG